ATTTATTCTGATTGCTTTGACCAGTGCAATCTTCTGGCAATCCTGGCAGCTTCGATTCGTCTCCTAATGGGATTACCCGGTTCTTCCACCGGAAACACTTGGCAAGGCTTTAGCCGTGGTGTTCTTGGCGTATGAAGGACGTTATATTTGCTACATCTAAGCTACGCTAACGTATCTTACTGATCAGGAAGTATAGCGCTTAAAAAAAATTGTTTTTTTTTAAAAAAATTGTTTTTTTTTTGTTTGTGACGATGTGACGACTTATCTGTTTTTTTTTCATGTCACCGGTGGGATTTCAGTTTTGAAGTGAAATTTTATCCACCGGATCCGGCTACATTGAACGACGATATTACACGTCATCTTTTAACTCTACAACTTCGACGTGACATTTTTACCGGCAGGTTAGTCCTTGCATATTTTCTAAGAATTCTAAAAATTTTAGACATTTTTTATTTGCACATATTTCAGTTTTTTTCCTACATTTTCAGACTCCCTGCAACGCTAGCCACATGGCGACTATGAGTCATCTCTACAGTACATCGATTTTCTGCGAAATTTAGCCTCGGTACCAATCGGAATTCTCTATGAAAAAGTTGAAGAGATATACAAACAGCGTAGGTAAACGTGTTCGAATTCTTCTATATTCTAGGACCAGTCGAGACAGAATAATGCTTTAAACTATCACTGTTTGCTTTCACTTTCTAAGGAATTTGTTGCAAATTGCGAAGTCCAAATATATCTAATTGTTTTTTCGTCTTATGTATCATCCTTAGGCAGGCTCGCTTCTAAGTAACTCTGGGAAAGGGAAATTTAATTTACCAATATTGCAGGGGCGTTACACCAGGCGAAGCCGAACTGCACTATCTCGATAATGCAAAGAAATTGAGCAGGTACGGCGTACATCTTTTCTTAGCCAAGGTTTATACTTTCACTTCTGAGGCTCTTTCCACTATACACAGACATATTGCATTGTAATCGAGATACCTTGAAGATTTCACTTCTTAAAAAACCCCCCTTCTTCCCTCGTTTCCACTTGCACCGTTCTAAATTAACTTCAAAAAGTCTGCATCTATTTAATTCAGCCCCATCCCTCTTACTTGCCTTTTTCTTTCCTCCTTTCTCTTTTTTTTATACCTAGAGAAAAATCAGCAGTGTTCATCTATAATATGCATTGTTTTCTTCTCAGAGGTAGGTGTATTTTTTAAGCTTGTGTACGCATATTTTAACTTCATTGTAATATATGTTGAGATATCTGACTAATTTACGTAAAAGTTTTCGGTTTTGGAGATTCACCGGTTTTTTTTTTTTTATAAAATGATGCTACATTTGAGCAAAACTATACTTACGGCTTATGTTTATATATTGAAAAGCGAAAAGATTTAATTCCCAAGGAGTGGAAAGTGTGATGTGTTTGCAGGGTGGAAAAGGTGTGCCCGTTCAAATTGGTGTCTGCGCGCACGTTATGTTTACCGCGACCAAATCTGTATTCATCGTTTTCTGTGGCAGAACATCATCAAAATTGCCTACCGGCGCAATGTTTTCATTGTCAAAGGTAAACTTGGTGAAGTGAGTTTTTTTTAGGCGCATGTGAATATGAGAAAATGAGCAAAAGAAAGCTTGAATTCATTTAGACGTTCGTTTGAATACGACTTGTATGTATGTATGTGTGCTGGGAGGGGACGGGGAGAGCAGGAGAAGGTAGGGAGGGGCGAAGGGGAGGACGAGGAAAGTGTGAGGGAGATCAAGAAAAGCGCAAGTCGAAGTACAGCGTTTTGAAACTGTGGTCTGTGGTTTTGTTGTTAGTATCAGCCACCTTTGTTTTAACTTGGGAAACATGAATCGATGGTGATGTTCAAGCTGCCCGATCATGATGTCGCAAAGCGGGTCTGGAAATGCGTCGTTGACCATCACACATTTTTCAGGTGCGTTGCTATACGCTTGCTTATATCAGCACTTATAATAGTGATCCATTTGAATCCGCATATTTCAGCAATTCTTCGATTTTTTTTTTTTTGTCAATCAATTTTTAACTTCTCGATGCAGACGCACTTTGCATGGCCATTTTAAGAGGAAATAGCAATTCAGTTTTTAAATTATCAAAATCAGTTCCGTCATATACGCCTCTTTGTTCTGTACTGAGTGCAGTTTAGTGACAAAATGTACTCATTTGAGTTGTATATATTTCATTTATAAAATGATTCAATGCTTTGCATTCTTTTGCGCAAGTTGAAGAAATTATCGTTGCGTGATTATTAGAATAACAGTGATGCAGGTCATCAATCTACGATAATTGCAGGTTGATTCAGCCGGAAGAGAAGGCTTTTAAAGGATTTCACTGGGGCTCAGCAAAGTTTCGTTATCAAGGAAGAACGCAGTCTCAGTCAAAAATTGCCTCACAAATGTCCAACAATCCACAACTGCAGCGCTCACAGAGTGCCCGTTTAGCGCGAAATGAGGAATACGGTAAGGGATCCTTTTCTGCGTTTATCGCCTGCATAACTGTGAATGGTATCCGCGAAAAAATAAATGAACGGCCTCTAAGGAGACGACTTACACGCACTAAACTAAAGTTACTACTGACTGGAGCAGGCAATTTAGGATCAGAATGCGCAGAATGACTGCACCTGTTACATTGGAACATCCCGGTAACATTACCCTATCGATCATTGGGGAGGGAGGACGGAGAAGCGAGATGGTCCTGAAATTTTTCATATATCCCTCAGTTACTGGAAATTGTTAGATTCAGTCGTCCTTGTACCTTTTAAAAAATGTATGCTAATGGGCTTTGTACTCTTGAGAGTTATTTTCGTGTATCCCTTAATATCACTGACCCTTAAGTCATCTTTATATGTGCAGCTTATGAGTTGCGTGTTTTTCTGATGCAACTAAGAGAGGTTACTTGATAATGTCACACAAAAAAACCATTTTTCACTCTTATCAAGCAACAGTGAAAAATGGTTTTGTTGACTGCCACTTGCACTGACGACGGAAGTTTTTTTGAAAATAAAAACTTTTTTTCTGAATTTGTAACTTTAGGTATCATCGTAATGTGTTGATGACTTTTTAGGTATAACGGCTGTTTTTTAAAATAAGTGAGGCAAAGGGATTTTTATTCATTTTAAGTACTTTTAGAAGGTGCAGCAGGATGGCTGTGGTTTTTTGTTTTTTGATAAATTTGGTGAGAAGGCTAAAAAGTTAGAAAAGTTAAATATAAAGATTAGTAGGATGTGCGCAGAAAAATACGTGCACATTTTTAATTTTATGATTTACATACCATTGGTCTGCAATTTTGGAATGCGGTGTGAAATAGGCGAGGCGAGGGTTGGTGAGAAACAACCAGACAAAAGTCTTTGGCCCGGGAATCGCCACTGCTGAAAACTGTTTCGTTCCGAGTTTTTAAGAAGAATCATTTAATTCTGGTTTTTTGTACGAAACCGTCAACAAATTCTTTGCAAGTCTTATTTTGCACAGCAGCTGAGAACAAAAATATACAGATATTATCAAGCTAAAAACAGCTTTTAAATAGTAACAGGATATTACTTCTGGCCTACCAACAGAAATAAATATGCCTTACCAGCATAGGTGGTAACTAAGGCTGGAGAGTCCTCTTCGAAAAATTCACATCGTAGTCTTATGGTGCTCAGTGGACAATAACAATTTTGAAGCTTCCAGTTACGAAGTTTGAATTTTAACGTCTTCAGAAATTACTTACCGAAGCGATTCCATCTTTCTCATAATTTCTTCTAGCTACTAATTTCCCGGAAAAAAAATCCAAGCTAGATCCTTTCAAGATCCTTAAAAAAGTAAAGCCTACAACATAATTCTGGTTATCAAAATCCAGGTGTGCAGCAAACATATTTAGCCCACTTAGCCAGCCACATGCACCTCGCTTCAATGCCAAACTGTCCGCAGTTCATATTGCTCATTATACCAACACACGGAATCGGTGAACCTTGTCTCATCACTGGTATGAAACCTGGTCGGCCGGAGCATCCTGTCTGATTTCGGGTGATACTACTGCTGCTGCTTGTAACAACAGCCGGACTTGGATCGATAATAGCCATTGGCCAGATGCGCTTCGGTGGGAAACGGCGCAACTAAAAATAAGTCAAGTACTTCAAAATGGTTCGCGCATAACTCACAGAACAATACGTGTTTTTTGCCATGTTCGTTCATAAATGTTTTTTGCCATGTTCGTTCATAAAAGATATACACATAAGAAGCCCGGTTTTAGTGTTTTGTAGCTGAGCACTGCCAATGTGATTGATCCAAAACAACCCCGGGTCCGTTTTAAATAAAGAAGCCAACTTACACTCTGAAATTTCTTGTGGGCGGCAGCCTTGCAGCAGATAAAACCATTTGCTGTGCCGGTGTAGAGGCAAGCAGAGCCGTTAGGACAAAAATGCGGGTTTCCTGACCGAGCGTGCGGATAGCACTGGCGATAATTTCCATCAACGTCCACAGGAATCAAATTGGGCGGCTGCGGTGGACAGACATCTAAGCAAGCCAAACACTCATTAAGCAAACTGAAAAATATGGCACTTGATTACCTGCACATAGTTTTGACCACAACGTCCTGAAACTGGCTGCATGCAAAAAAAATTGGCCAACGCACGGGCTGCCCGTGCGAAGATGCGTTTTTTGCAGAATTCCCCGCAGT